GTAGCTGCATATACTGTTTGATTAAAGACTGGATTATTATCATTGACATCACTCACTGATACGGTAATGAATGAACTAGTAGATACTTTATAGTCGATAAATGAAGCACGGACTAATATAACATGTGATTCCATCTCTTCTCGATCAAGGAGATCGTTGACGAGGATTAGCGTCGCGTTAGAATCAACAATATGAAAGTAATCAATATTATCACCACTTAATATCTCAAACTGTAGATTCCCCAAGTATTCACTAGGATCAAGTGAATGTGGAGTTATTAGCTCTAGCACACCAATCACAGTTCCGCCTGGACTGTTTTCTGGTACTGAAAATACAAGAGAAGAAGGTGAGAACTCTAGTATCTTAGGAGAAGGTTCTATGATGCTAAGTAAAACTACAGCTGTACTGCTCAATGATGAGTTTAAGGAATCATTTGCTTTAATGGTGAATTTATAGTCGCCTTGTGGTAGTGATCCATTGATTGAAATCAGTGATATCTGACCAGAATTAGGATCGATATCAATGAGATTACTGATACTAGAATCAACAATGCTAAATCTACTGATTCCGTTCATCCCTTGATCAGGATCACTCACTAATGGTGTTAGTATCATGCTAGTATCGTTATAATTAGTATAAATAACCACAGTGTATGTGTCTTTATCAAACAATGGAGGATGATCATTAATATCACTGATATTAACACGTGCTCTTACTTCTGCCATTATACCATTTGGACCTGTTGCAACAATTACCAAATCATGGAATGAAGTCAATTCTCCGTCAATAGAACACGTTAGGGTAATAGATCCTGTACTTGAGTTTATATTGAAACAGGAATGAGGCGAGCGGAATGAGAACAAGATATCGTTAGTACCAAATGTTTGATTAATGACTTCATTAATCATAACAGTTCCGACTGGCAATGGAGGCAGTGAATGTTCTGGGATTGAAAACGAATAGAAGTTCTCCGTAAAGATAATAAATGGAGAGGTGCTTTGGAGAACAGACACTGTAATATTTATAGAGTTGTCTTTAGGCGGACTGCCTCTGTCACTGGCAGTTAATGTCATGTAATAGTCACCTGATCTTAGAGTAGAGTTAGTTGTCGTAATTACTCCTCTGTGCCTATCCACATGAAAGCCCAACTGGGTGGAGTCAAGGTAATACAGGATGCCGCCATTAGATCCAGAGTCTTCATCAGTTGCCGTAACGGTGAGAATAGGTGTGTCAGGAGGTGTGGTCAATGGTATCACAACTTGATTCGGAGCTGATGTAAAAATTGGCAAGTGATCATTCTCGTCAATCAAGTTAACGATAATCGGCGATGTATCATAAATTGTCTCATTATCAGCAGTGCTGTATAACTCAACATATAATATGAACTGATCCTGTGATTCGTGATCAAAATCATACGACAGAGAAACGTTAACATCACCAGT